CAACTCGGTACCTAACAAGCCATAGGACCCTGGGAAAATCACTTCACTTCTCCATGACTCAGTGTCCTCATCTGTCACATGGGGATGATAATACTAGTACCCTCCTCACAGACTTATAGTGGCGATTAAAAATGTTTAGAATAGTGCCAGCACTTTCTAAGGGCTCTGTAAGTGTAGTAGATATTGTTGTCACCTATAAAAGGTGGATGGGACTATCTACCACACAGCATCTTTCTAGTAACATAAGTAACTGGCCCACAATGGGTACTTGGTAAATGTTACTCTTGGGTTTATTAGCTCATTTAGCACACTCACAATGGAAACTGTACAGGGAGGCTTGCTGAGCAATGGCTATCAAAGAGTTGCAGCCTGCAAAAGGAGGTGTTCAAAGCCAGCAGCCTGGCAACTCGCCTGTTCGTTCACCCTTGGTTGAGCTGTGGTCAACTCGAGGTGAGCTTGGGAGCGTTCGGTGCTACCCTCTGCTGGCCATCATGGAACCCTGCAGCTGCTCGATGCATTTTTGAACAACAAACATTTTTTTGAGCATCTGCTGAGCCAAGGCTCTGGTACTACCAGGAATGAGGTAAACTCTCCTAAACGAAAGGATTTTGTGCTGAAACAACCTCTCAAGTTATTTACTAGGGGGCTGGAGAGGGATCACAGAGATGCAACTTAAAACACCCAGAAAAGCCCTTTAGAGCTTTCTTCTGAGCACTGCAGTACAGCAAAGAGCCTCTAACACACTATGTCACCCTGGACAAGCCAGCTAACATCTCTGGACCTTAGTTCCCTCACTGCACAATCCTCCCAGGTCTAAACACGCCCTGACTTCTCTTCAGCAGATGTTTTCATATGCTGTAAAGCCAAGGCCGTTCCCGGACTTCACTCTGCCCTACAGCTCATCTCAGTGAATGAACGGCCTCCTCCCCACTCCCCAACCTAAACCTCAGAGCCATCTTCAGCTGCCACCCAGCTCCATCTCTCGCTCCCAGTGTCACCAAGCCTGAGTCCTATTCCTCACGACACTGCCACAGAGCAGGCCCTTGCTACCACATCCAGTTGTCAGAGATTTACTGAGCTCCTACCCTGTGCATGGCCTCAGGCCAGGCACTGAGAACCTTTGGCCTGTGATACTTGGGCTCCTTCCCTCTAACTTCCCTCCTTCCAGTACATCCTTCGTGGTACCATGAGAGTTATCAAGCTGTAGAGAAGCACCGTCTGATAGAATGTTCTTCAGTGATGGGAATGCCCTGTATCTGTGCTATTCAAAATAGTAGCCACTAGCCATCTGGCTGTTGAGCACTTGAAATATGGCTAGTGTGGCTGAAGAACTGAATTTTAAATTTTATTCAATTTCAGTTTACATAGTCACATGTGACCAGTGGCTGTGTCACAATAACTGGAGTCAGGCAAACCTGGCCTCCAATCTTGGCTTTGCCTCTTACTGACTGAGTGGCTTCAGGCTAGTTACTTTACTCCGAGCCTTGATTCTCCCATCTGTGAAAATGGGCATGATAATTTCCAGATGGTAGAATTGTTGTGAAGATGAAAAAAGATTAAACGTTTGGCAAAATGCCTAGTACATGAAAAGTTATAGCTATAAATTTCACCATCATTATTAATCACAAATTTAATCATATCAGTCCCCTGTTCAAAAGCCTTCAGTAGCTCCCCAGTGCCTATGTTTTATATAGCCCAAGCTCCAAAACTAGTGAAAATAAAAGCCAAAGATTCAAGAGGTCCATATAAACTCCAAACAAGATAAATAAAAATAAATTCCACACCTAGATACATCATAATAAAACTGCTGTAAATCAAAGGAAAAGAAACTGTTAAAAACAGCCAGAGAAAAGAGAAAACACAATGGTACAACAGTTAGGCTTACAGCTTACTTCTAAATAGAAACCATGGGAGTTGAAAGACAATAGGATGATGTACCTAATGCTATCTAAAGTATGCTTAGGGACAATCATTGCCAATGTTGAATTCAGTACTTAGACAAAATATGTTTCAAAAATGAATATTAAGCATAGATATTTTCAGACACATACAGACGCACACCCCTGAGAGATTTTTTTCATCAGCAAAGCTACACTGAAGGAAAACACTGAAGAATGTTCTTAGGCAGAATAAAATGATCCCAGACACATGACCAGAGATGAAGAAAAGGCAAGCAACAGGAAGGGCCATGTGTAGATATGGATATCAATTGTATAAAAATGCTAATAATGTCTTTTGGGTTTCAAATACAGAGAGGTTTAGAAAATGACAACATGGCACATATGGCTGGGTGGGATAAGTGAAGTTAAAGTGTCAGTGTCTAAGGTCATTGTGACACCAAGGAGGAAGGAATAATCATGAACGAATATTGCATTTTGGTAAGTTGAAGATGCATGCTGTCTTTAGGATAACCACTAAAAGAAGAGTAAAAGAGTGGAAACTCAATAAATATTGGATTGTGGTACGTCACGAATGCATGTTATTATGTTACTATTACTAAAAGAAGAGTAAAAGAGTGAAAAATTTCCAACCTAGTACAGGGAGAAAGTAGACAAAAACCCATCAGCTCAAAAGGAGGCAAGAATGGAGAGAAAAAGGAACATGGCACAGGTGGGACAAGTGGCACTGAGCGAGAAGATAAATTTAAATCCCAACATATAAATGGACCAAAAGACAAAGATTGTCAAACTGGATTTTATAAAAACTGCCTGTTGTTAACAAGAAATACATCTGAACCTAAAACAAAGAAAGATGGACAGAAAAAGTATAAAAAAGATATGCTATAAAAATGTTAATCAAAAGAAAGCTAATGTAGCTGATGGAGCTATATTAGTGACAAAGTAGACTTTAATGAAAAAACACTACTAGAGATAAAGAGGAACATCTTGTGATGGTCAAAAGTTTGAACAGAAAATATTAAAACTGTCAACTTATATGCATGTAGTAACATAGCCTCAAAATACATAAAGCAAAAATTGACAATACTAAAAAAAGAAACAAATTCACAATCATAATGGGATTTTTTACAAAACATAATTTTCTCAACGACTGACAGAACACACAGACAAAAAAATCAATAAGAACATTGAAGTTTTGAACGTCATTGGCATAGTTGATCTAATAGATACATATGAGTATAGAATGCTACACCCAACGACTGAACGCATATTTGTTTCAAGTGCGCATGTGGAACCAAAATTGACCATATGCAGGTTATAAAACAAGTCTCAATTAACACTAAAGAACTGAAATCACACAGAGGATGTTCTCTGACCACAGTGTAATTAAGCTAGAAATCAGTACCAAAAAAGTAAAACCCTCATATATTCAGAAACGAGGAAATAACCTCAAAATAACCCATGGTTCAAAGAAGAAATCACAATAGGGTATGAAAAAAAAAAATATTTTTTCTCCTTTTTGTCTTTTTTCGTGACCGGTAATGGGATCGCAACCCTCGGTGTTGTGCCCACACTGCACCCAACCAGTGAGCGGACCGGTCTCTATATGGGATCTGAACCCTTGGCAGGAGCACCACTGCGCTCCCAAGAGCCGCACTCTACTGAGTGCACCACTGGGCCGGCCCATGGAAAATATATTGATCTGAATAATAATGAAATACTACACACTAATAATGAAATACTACACACTAAAACTTGTGGAATGCAGCTAAAGCTTTGCTTAGAGGAAATTTATAAGCTTTGCTTATAATCATGTTTATGACTGTAACTATTTTAATGAAAAATATACCAAAAGAAATACATTTTTGTTGAGTAGGTATTTTCCAGAGTGAAGTTCATTAAGCCATTAACGCATTTCCAAATGCTTCCATTTTCATTTTTAGTCTCCTGAAATGTTTTCATCTGGATTGATTCTTTTCTGGATAAATTTTATAATTGTAATTTAATTCATCTGTAAGTTTTTTCAGTTCCTATCAAATTTTACCAACCATAGCTCTGTCATTGTGTGTTTTATTTTGTGAACCTCTTTCCTACCAAGTCCATTTCCTCCCAAATTATATTTTGCATATCTAAACTTTCTCAAAAATATTTTATTCTTCTCTCAGGTTCTAGTCAATAACACATTTTACTCTGTGTGGTTTTAACTGTTGGTTTTATTTGTGTTAATTATTCCTGCCAACTCTACTTTTATGTCTGGTCAACTTTGGAGGCTTCTGTATTATCAACAAGATGTGATTTATCAGACAGCTTCTTGTCTAGTACATATTTTAGCTGGTGAGGTTTTAATGGTTTTACCTTCTGGCGATTATTCTGACCGTCCTATTAAGTAAAATTCTCCTCAGATGGAATTCTCCTGCCATTTGATTTTGTCTTAAAATATTCTTGGTTTTCTCAATGACAACAGTTTTCTCATCTGCTATGGGTTAAATGTGTCCCCTAAAAGTTCATGTGTTGGAAACTTGACCCCAATTGTAACAGTATTAAGAGGGTGGAAAATCCAGTTGAAAGTGGGGCCTTTAAGAGGAGATTAGATTGCGAGGACTGTGCCCTTGTGAATAGATTGATCCATTCATGGAGTGATGCGTGTGGTTCTGATGACTTTAAAAGGAGGGTAAGTAAGAAGATTAGCTCTCTCTTGCTCAGCTTATTCTTGCCATGTGACACCCTGAGTTGCTGTACAGAGTCACCCCACCAGGAAGAAGACCCTGACCAGATGTGTTCCCTGGACTTTGGACTTCCCAGCCTCCCAAACTGTAACAAATAAATTTCATTTCTATATAAATTACCCAGTTTTGGGTATTCTGTTAAAAGTAGCAGAAAATGGACTAATACATCATCAAACGAAGTAGATGATTCAAGTTGAAAGACTATCAATTCTGCTCACTCTGCTAAGGACCCTTAAAAATATTTTCAGTTAAAATACTTTAAATATGTGTGGTCCATAAGTGTATTTGTACAGCTCTTCAATTGATTACATTGCCAGAAGAGATCACTTACCATTGATTTAAAACAATAAGCTTTTGGTGATGATGGAAATGTTCTCTATCTGTGCTGTCCAGTATGGTGGCCACTAGCTGCACGTGGCTCCTGAGCACGTGGAGTGTGACTAGTGAAACCGAGGAAGTGAATTTTGCTTTATTTACTTTTATTTATTTTTGCGGCTGGCTGGTGTGGGGATCTGAACCCTTGATCTTGGTGTTATCAACACTGCACTCTAACCAAGTGAGCTAAGCAGCCAGCTCCCTAGTTACATTTAATTATTTTAAATTTAAAAGGCCATGTGTGGCTAGTGGCTACTATGTTGGATAGCACTGGTCTAGATTATGTGACTAAAGTTTTTTTTCCCCATGATGGGAAGAAACATTAAAATAATGAAGCAACACTACACTAATTGGGATCTGGAGATGGGGCTGGGTCTCATTAAGAAAAAGCAAGTGACGGTTTTAGAAGGCAGTCTAGGGCAGTGGCAACCCACAGGTGCTTTGGAGCCAGGCCTGGGTTCAAGTCCTGCCACGACTGTTTTATCTAAGTGAACTGGGGTAACTTCCATGACCTCGGTGAGCCTCAGTTTTCTCAACTGCAAAGAGGGGTTAATACTGGTATCGATCACACGGGGTCATTGTGAGGATTAATGAAGAGGATGCATGAGGAGTCTTGACCCAGAACAGTCCCTGGGCCGTGGCCCTTGCCCTACGTACCCTGCCTTTTTCTCGCAGAGTCTTAGAGATCACGCTCTGTTCAGTGCAACTCTTCCTCAGCTCCTCCCTCAGCTTCTTCATTTCTTTCTCCATGTCTTGGATTTGCTGAAAAAGTTTCAACAACAGAGAAGTCAACTTCCCCTGATGCCTTCTGGGCTGAAAAGTCTGGGTCCTTACAACTCCTCTCATGGGGTTCCGTAAGGTGGAAACCTAGTCTGGGATTCGTTTCTTTCCTTCTCTGGGAGGGAATGTTCTACATCTGTAGGCAAAGTAGACTCTTCTTTGGGA